TCTTGTTACTAGCCCTTCGGAACCCTCCGGAAACTGCGTAGAGACTGTCCGGAACGACGGGAACCGCCGGAAACTGACCCGGACGCCTCCGGAACGTGAGGCAGCACAGGATCCATCCATCCGTCCATCCATGCATCCATCAACGGAGTGCCAACCAACCAACCAACCAAGCAACAACGCGGCCAAGCCAACAAACCCACCAAGCAACCAACAAGCCAAGCAACCGAACCACATAACTCCGTGTTTTCTCCAAGTGTTGTAGGTACTATTCGAAATCCCGCGCGGGGGAGGCTTGGTTTGCATTGCAGGGGAGGCGCTGCGCCCTCCCCATTTACACAGCATCCGTCCATCCATGCATCCATCAACGGAGTGCCAACCAGCCGACCAACCAACCAAGCAACAATGCGGCCAAGCCAACAAACCCACCAAGCAACCAACAAACCAAGCGACCAAAGCCGCCCATCCCGTAGCGCTGCGCCCTCCCCCGCACCCCCTCCCGCCTTGACTTACACAGCATCCATCCATCCATCCATCCATCCATCCGTCCGTCCGTCCATCCATCCACCCATCCATCCATCCATCCATCCATCAACCAAGCACACAAACAGAAACATTGCATATCCATCAAGCACTGTATCATGCAAGCAATCACGGCAAGCAAACCAACGCACCAAAAAGTAACATTTTTCCCCCTGTCCATGATCCATCCATCACTGTATGTGTCTTCTCCAAAGGCGAGCAACCGACAAGTCAAGCAGGCTGAACCAACCACTCAACGACCAAAGGAAGGAGAGTTAAAAAGAAAGGGTGGGTAGCCCACCAGCAGCAAACAAACCAAGCAACCAAGCGTTTCCCCCAAATGCTGTCGATACTTGCTTTGCATTGGTAGCCCACCAAGCAACCAACAAACCAAGCAACCAAAACGACACAACCCTGTGTGAACCCACATGCTGTCGATACTTGGTTCGCATTGCGGGGGAGGCGCTGCGCCCTCCCCCGCACCCCCTCCCGCCTTTATTTACACTCCATCCATTTATGCATCCATCCCCGCCCGCCATTATCTACGGACCATCCATCCATCCACCCATCAAACAAGCAAGCAACCAACAAACCAAGCAACCCAAACCACGCAACCCTGTTTTTCCCCAAATGCTGTCGGTACTTGGTTTGCATTGCGGGGAAGGCGCTGCGCCCTCCCCCGCACCCCGTCCCGCCTTTATCTACACAGCATCCATCCCTCCATCCATCCATCCACTGTATCACGCAAGCAACCAACAGCAAGCAAACCAAGCAACCAACCCACCAAAAAGTTTTATTTTCTCCCTGTCCATGATCCATCCATCGCTTTTTGTGTTTTCCCAAAATCCAAGCAACCAACAAGCCAAGCAGGCCGAACCAACCAACACACCAACCAAAGGAAGTGGGATAAAAAAGAAAGGGTAGCAACCAAACTGTGTTTTCCCCAAATCTGTCGATACTTGCTTTGCATTGGTAGCCCACCGAGCAACCAACAAACCAATCAACCAAAACCGCGCAACCCTGTGTTTTCCCCAAAAGCTGTCGATATTTGGTTTGCAGTACAACAAGCTAGCCAACCAACACACCAAGCAAAGGAAGGAGGGTGAAAAAGAATGGGTCGAGGGTCAAAAAAGAAAGGGTAGAGGGTGAAAAAAGAAGGTTCGAGGGTGAAAAAAACAGGTTCTGAGGGTGAAAAAGAAAGGTTGAGGGTGAAAAAAAAAGGTTGCCCGATGTCTTTTTACGAAGAACCCTTCGCAGATGCTCTCGGGAAAAACACACACAAACCAAAACCAGAAACTCTAAAATTCATTGACATCACTTTGCATGTCTTATGTGCTTATATGCAGTTTATGAGTATTTTTTGCACCTTTCCAGGTGCACACGGAACTCATATTTTCCAATAGGGCTTTGATTTGTACATACAACCCCTGGCAACAAAACACTTGCAGAGCGTGTGGCCAGGTGGTAGCGGGGGTGCAAGTAGCAGAAGTAGCACTAGCGGTAAGACAACTCAGGCAGGCAGGCGTGTGCAGTTCTCACTCAGTTGGCATGCGTTCTCTGAAGGAAGCACCGAGAAATGCAAAGGATCTTTTTGATTTTGAAGCGAAAGAACACGCAGTATTTCCAATGCAGAAGGCAGAAGGAAATCAGAAAATTCGTTTCGGGGCTCTCAACATTCGCCCAATCATCCCCCACAACCATTAATTAAATATATATATATCATATACATGGTTCAATCCCGAGGTGCTTGTGGACAACCTTCTTTACAATTTGTTTGGGGATGTTTGGGGCAATGATTTGGTGGTGGTGGTGGTGGTTACTACAAGATGTGAAGGACAACAAAAAACGGAGGAAACGCACAGCAAAATCAATTTTGGGACATGTTTTTTCCAGCGGTTGGTACGAGCAATAATTTCGTAAGTTTTGAGTTCTGGATCCAACAACGGCTTGAAATTTGTATGAAACTATATACTTTGAACAAACATTGAAGTTTTTGGCCTATTTGAGATTTGCCTCAACTTACTAGTTAGCACCGCTCAAATGAATTAGACATAATGAACATGTGAAAAATGTTGGCAGGTTTGTTCAACTAATTTTTGATCTCGAGCACATGCTGTAAGTTTATGTCTTGTCATGGGACTTTGTAGTCAGAGAGCTCCACAAAGGACTGCAACACCGATGGAATACGTCATGTGTGTGAGGTATGAAACCTCGGTGAGAAGCCACAAAGCTCAGCTTGATAGATTTGAGAGGATTTGTGTCGGATTCCCTCCGGAATCCTTCTCATTGTTTAAGCAACTTGCCTCTCAAAAGCGCATCCAAGCTATGCCACATTCTAATTGCATGTTTGAATATGTAGTACATTTGCGCACGATTCTGCGGAGCACACAGACCGCACATCTCAACCTCTCGTCAAGGTCTTACCAAGGGCCATCAATTCCAACGTGCTGCTGTTACCACTTCCAGGCAAGTGTGCGCCAACATGTTACTCTTGTACAATGTTTGCAACACATGTTTAGGTGTGCTTGTTTGATGCACGGCCTTTTGGTTGTATGTTTGAATATTTGGTGGTTTTATTTGATATGCACCAACATGCATCTGCGGTTTTGTCGAAATGGTGGCGGGATGGTGGTCCGAGTATTTCAATGCATTAGTGGCTCACAAGTGGACTAGGCTGCGTATCAAAGACTTCTTTGCAGTCTACTCTACATACAGCCCACAGCATCATTCGGATTTCTGCAGTCTGACTCAAACTGTTTGCTCGTGACTTTCAAGAGGCCAAGTATTCCAGATAGTTCCTCGAAGTCAGGTCAGTGATCTCAGCAGAGAGCTGAAACTGCAGACTGGGTGCCAAATAACCTGCTTCACAGTAAATCTGAGTGTCATAAACACATGGAAACAACTTGTTTCTAGCTCAGTGATTTGAAGGAAGACTATTCAAGTTGTGCTTGAATGACTTCTGCCCAGGTCCTGTTGCAACACCTGGTCCAGCAGCATATGACACAGTTGCAGCAACGCGGAGTACCAAGAAGCGCATGCCAGTTGGGCACCTAAGAGCGGCAAGGAGTTACTGCAGACGTGCAGAAGAAGAATTCAACACATTTTTTGAAATTGCAACTAGCATTACAGTATATATTTACACTTGCTTCGCGGGTACCACTTTTCCACTGCCAGACTCAGACAAAGAAGGCTTCCGCAAAAGAATTCCGGGGACATATTCTGACTGAAACTTCCGAAGGCGAATTGCTTTCACAAGACGAATTGCCTCCAGAAGGTTACTGTAAGACCAAATACCTTTCTGAAAAGGATTGCTCTCGAGAAGACGGTTGCAGGAAGTGGCCCTGCAATTTGTCGGCATGGAAGGTGTCATCAGGATCAGGAACAGCTTCGGTAATGTGTCTTCTGAACGCTCCGCCAGCGTCAGCACCAATAATCATACTCACTTTGCGGACGGTATGCCCAAGCGATTTGAACACGAGAGCAAAACTGTGCTTTTTGTCAAACATGATGCAACGAACCGTTTTTGAGGGCTATTCTATGCGCGGACGAGCACAAGAGACTAGAGAGACATCTCCTGGGCCAGCCAGACAGAATTGTAGCACACGATAGAAATGGTGGAAGCAAATTGGCTTGGAAGTGATGGAAGCATGCGCGAGCATTAGCTCACGAACATGGTTCAACTTTGAAAGACATCAAAAGAGAGCGGGGTTGCAGTCGTTGTGATTGTATCAATTGTATAATGTTCTTTCCATCCGGCACAGTTAAAGCCATTTCTCCCCGTGTCGGGGGATTCTTTTTTCGAAGTTGCCAGGCCTGCAGATTATGGTGGCCATTATACATTGCCACTCGCTGCAATGATGAGAACAATACGTTTGCCTATTGTAGGAACTTTTTGCCGTCAGATGGCACCATCCGCCCCCACCAATCAGCCAGGGATCATGCGGGTTTAGGTTTATTCGCTTTGCACTGCCAAGCCTGTGGGGGGTGCATGATGAATTCTGGACCTAAATATGAATGTAGCCACTGTATATGCGATCATATTACGTTCATTTGTTTCAGAACTCGTTTCAGATGTCGCTTGTTTTAGTAGTCAGCTGCATCGCTGCTGGCCAGGTTCAGCTGAAGGCTGGGCAGGTGCAAGTTTTGACGCCTGAACAAAGGTTTTCGAAGCTTTTTGGAATGTTGAACGGTTTAACGGTCTTCACGTGCTGGTCCTCATTGATTGTTCTTTATGCGGTTTTCTCGGATGACTTGCAAGAGTTGGAATGCAAGCGCGGTCATTTTTGATCTAGCGCACCAGCATCCATGGCATTCATTCCACATAAAGATCCTTGGGGCTACTACGATGTGCTGGACTGGTTCAAAAGAGTGATGCCTTACGAGGCACTTTGGGTCTAGAGTTAGAACTTGATTTTAAGCAGGCGTTTGTTCGGAATCCAATCTATCTGGCAGATTGATATTTTGTTTACAGTTTACTGTAGCTTGCCCGGCCCTGTGCCCTGGTGCCAAATCGTACCAAATCAATTCATTGTGCCTCTTCCGACGCACAGCTGCCTGCTGGGTTTGGCGGGTGCTGCCAGCAAACGTCAGATTTTTGAAGCCATGGGTTCTGCTGAATCTGGAGTCGCTCCCAGTGATCAGATGACGTCTCAGACGATCAGAGCATGTGATGGTACTTTGCTTCCCAGCAAGCGCCTGGCCGGTGCCAAGGACACCAAATGCTTCTAAATGGATCCAAGCCCTCTAGGCTTTGGTAGGACCTAAGGTAATTAGGACTGTATTTAGTCCTGGAGCACTTTAGAAAGAGAAATATGTACTTTTCATTATTACGAAAGCCCGCCGATAGGCTAGGCTGGAGTTGTCGATGGGCGAACGAAGTGAGTACTGTATTATAAAAGGGAGTGTTGGGGGGGTGCATAGGGGAACAATTTTGGTTAGAGCCATAAAAGAATAAAGCTGTGAACATGTATTGTTTTTTGGTGTGTTGTGACGCAAGTGATGTAATCGACGCCGAAGAGTGCATCGTTAGCATCATGAGGGGACCAGGAGGCTATTTAAACAGTCTTGACAACGGGACATGAAAAGTGGTTGGAGCTTGTTCAGGAAAGTGAGACGCGCGTCTCCCAACACTCTGTTTTCTCGTGGAAAAAATGAGTGAAGGTGCAAGAAACGATGCGACCCGTTGAGGATAGGAGAGGGAACAGAATGCAGTGGGCAAGCTCGCCTGTTAACCAGACGCAAAAGGGCACCCCATATGGGGTGGGAGTTCATACATGAGGACCGGCGTAGTGGGGGAGGACGTGATAGGAAAAGAAGTGGGGAACTCACCAGGGAAGCGAGAAGTGCGTCGCTCAGCGCTCTGTGTTCTCGTGGGCAAGAAGAGTAGAGAGAACGTGACCTCTACATGACAGAAAAAGAGGCTGAAAACACAGCAGGAAAGTGAGATGTGCATCTCTCAATCATCACTTTCCCGTGCCTAATAGAGTGCAAGGGAACGTCAGCAAGGATGTTACCCGATATTGATATTATCCGTTGAGGACGGGAGAGGGCACAGAATGCAGTCCTTGACGCGCAAGCAAGGAAATGGTCCGTTGAGCAAGCTTGGGGTTGCCCCTTGTTGTGGCGAAGGCGGCTGTTATTAATTGGATGCAAAAGGGCCTCTCAGAGCTATCCCAAGGAGTCCACCCGTCGGCGTGGCTGCAATGTCGACTTCACCCCATAACAACGTATTCTTCGCCCGATGTTGGACAATCATTTGACCTTGGCAGGTAACATCGGTCCACGCGTGGCAGCACGCCGAGTTTATGAGTCCATCTACAGGACAAAAATAACAAACAGCAGGCAAGCGCCCCTCAGTTCCTTAGGGGTGCCCTTTTTCAGCTTGACAACGCCCTTTGACCAAAGGAAAAGGGGCACCCTCCAACATGTACTCTGCTTTCTATTTCCAACAGCAGTTACTGCAATGTCGACGCCCCCCCAGAACAACGGTCATCTTCCCCCAAAGTTCAACAATCACATGATATTGGCAGTAAACTTTCTTCGGTCCAGTCTTAGCACCAGGCCGGTTTTATGAATCCATCCTCGAGACAAGACAAACAAACTGCAGGCAAGCGCTCCTCAGTTACTTAGGGGTGCCCTTTTTTATTTTGAAAAAGCCCCTTGAGCAAAAAGAAACGGGGCACCCTACCCCCCCCACCTGTGAATGAGGGCCTGTCATATCAGCCCTTACTGCGACTTCCCACCTCTGCCTTCTATTTCCCCATGCCTGACAGTGGTTCCAGTGCGCTCTGGAATTCACCCCTCATAACCATATTGATGTGTTCTTGTGGAGGCTGGCTTTCGTCCCCTCCCTCCTCAGGGGGGTCAGTGAGGTGAAGGCTTCCCGTAGACATTTGCTTCTTTGGACGCCAGGATCTCCAGTCAGATGCTTCGACCTTGTTTGTTTTTCTACATGGCCTGGGGGAGAGGACATTCAATTCCAGAATGCATCAGAAACATCTCCACTTTCATAGCGAGAATTGATTCAAGCGTGGCACGCAACGTTTGCAGGATGAGTCACTATGATGAGACATCAGCCAATGTGAATTTGCAGAAGGCATCGACGGGGTGTGTTGTTCTGATCCTAGGTTCTGGACAACTATTGATGACTTTAGGGTGGCAACTGGTGTCCATGCGTTCAGGCCAGCATCGCACACAGTGCTCTCAGCATTGTGTTGTTCGATGCCCGTGGCCATGGGGCGAGCTCTGGCTGGGAAGGAGGTGGACCTGACCAATTCCACTGGAGATGTTTAGGCTCAGACATGTTGCAAGTGGCTCTGGCGCATACGGCCGCCTTAGTAAAGCCTTGGGCCCCCAGCTACATTTTGGGTGGTTGCAGCATGGGGGCGGCAGCTGCAGCACTTTGGACGCACAAAGAGTCAGAGTTGCACCAACACCGCAGGAATGGCAGTAATGGGAGGGTCATGGAGGGTCGTTCTTAGATATGGTCAGATTCAGATATAGCAAGCTGAGCAATAAAATGGTGTGACGTGACGGTGTTGATATTCCTCCAGGTTTGGGCGGCTCTCCTCTCGCCACGCTGCGTGCGGGGTTTGGTGCTATACATGGTGCCAACCATGTGGGCTGGTCGAAAAACCCGTCGTGGTGCCCTCGAGGCGCGTGCCAATGCTGTTCGTCAGACCGATCCAGTTCGTGCTGATGTGATGCTGGGAGCTGCTCGAGCCGACTTTCCACCAAGAGAAGATGTGGAAAGACTAGCTGCAACTGGCATCCAAGTTTGGTGTCTCAATTATCACGTACGGATCACGACATTAAGGTGAACCGCAGAAAAGGCAGAAAACCAATCAGCCGTTTTGGGCTTAGTTATACATCTTATTAGTTAGTTAAATATATCTATCTATGTACCTACGCCCCCGTGGGTTAAGAAGCATTGCACTTACTTGGTCCCATAGCGTTTTGGCTTACAGGAGTGGATGCGGTGCGGCTCGTGCCTCACCTTCGAAGGTTCCCCTTCCTGTCAGGTCTGCCGCACGGTCCGCCGAGTGCGAGAGATCATCGAGGGTGGTCTCCTCCAAACGGCAGGAGAGTGCGGTCCTCACTGCCTTGCGTGAGTGCGCGGGAGCTTTGACTGACCTTGCCGAGGAGGCAGCTCCTGTCCTGGCACAGGAACTTCGTGAAAGCGGACCACCAATCGAGGCCAAGGAGACAGCGTGCGGGGAGCCTGTGGCCCCTGTTGGTTGCGACAAGGAGGTCAATAAGGAGTTCGTGGAGGTGAAGAAGGAGGACCACGCGGACCAGCAGGTGGTGAAGGAGCCTTTGGAGACAGTCCCTACTCCAGTTGAGGCCAAGGAGGACAAGAAAGTTGAGACTGAGGAGAAGCCCAAAATCTCATCCACTTACAACTGGGTCTTTTCTATTTTGGAACCAGGTCTTGGGAATGGAGGTGGTTCCACTAGACTTCTTTGGCTCAAAGTGGCCTTAGGGCAATGAAGAGGAGATGGTCGGAGTCAGAGTCCACCTCCGACTCTGATTCCTCGACAGAGGAATCAGAATCGGATTCAGAAGAGCCGCTGGATCCTCAAGTCATTGACTTCCTTGAGATCGGCGGCCTTTTTTTAGAGAAATCTGGCTTGCAATGGTGGTTTGATGGGTGGTGACAGCATGTCAAGCTGACGTTTGCTTCGGATTGCCCCTGGTCAGAACTTAATTCAACTGTTCAACTGTTGACTGACTAATTCCCAAGCTGCCTTTTTCACTCTTGCCTCATGACCTCTTTAGGCAGCGGGGCGGAAACGCCAATGATGGCCCTACAAATGCTTTGTGAAGCTGCTGGCAAGGGCAATGACTTCTTGGAATACATGTGCAATACTTAGGTCTACCCACCGAGAGTTCATACGGTTCATATATTGTGGCATGTTGATAAGTTTTTCCTGCTAGGTCATCCAGTGAGATCAAAGCAGCGCCCTACAAGTTCTTGAAGAAGAACTTTCAATGCCGGCAGCCCCTTTGCTAGCACTATGTTTGTCATATCTTATCACGCTAGCAACACGCTTTCCACAACATGTTGATTTACACATGTTCTAACAAGGCTATCCGACAACATGTTCAAGAAGGATGTGGCCTGGCTACGGGGTAAGGCACCGGCTCTGGTTCAAAACGCACTACTGTATCAGGCATGAGTTCTGAGTCTGTGCAGGTGGCTGTCTACACCACAGGATTCCCATGCACCCCGTTCAGTTTATTGCACTGGAACTCCAATGTGCTACAAGATAGGAATGCTCGCCAATTCTACAAGACAGTTTCCAACATCAAAACCATACAACCGGCTGTTGCTTGAATGCACTTCTGTGACCGTCTTTGAGCATTGACGTGAAGATTGAACCCTGTTTCCAAGGTTGCCCTCTTAGAGAATGTGATGGGCTTCATGAGGGTGGCTGACAAGTGCATGGCCTTCATGGACAAGAATCTGCCGGAGCCCCCTGGCATGTAAAAAGTACACACATTCAATCAAAGGGATGCATGCATGATGGATTCTACTTCCAGGTATGCGATTCAGGGGGTGATTATCAACCCGTGACCTGCCAGCTTTAGGGTTCCAGTTTGGATGCATGACACAGGGGCAATGTGTTGTTTTGGGTTCTGATTCTGATTGGTCTCAGGACCCGCTTTGGCGCCCCAATTAGCAGGAGGCGGATCTTCATTTTCCTCATCAAGAAGGAGGTCCTGAATGATGAGGCCATGTCTCAACCACTGGATGCTTTCATTTCCAAGAAACTGAAGCAAATGCACATGCCAGCAGAAAAGACTTGGCTCCATAGCTGCACGGGTGGGAACCAAGAATCAACATGATGAATGAACATGAATCAGAATAATGATGGCATATGATGCACCAATGCACCGCCAGCCCATACTCAGGTTGGGGATGCTACTTCCTGGCACCCACCCAGAAGTTCGACGCGATCAGGCATCCAGGTCCCTGCGCCGCACTGCTGCGATGAAGCGGAAGCTTGTCACAAACAGTGCTTGAGACAAAAAACATAAAAAAACAACTCTTGGACCAGTCGTCATGTTTGAATCCTGTAGGAAAGTCAATCGGAAGAGCAAGTGGTTCATGAGACATCGACGGTGGGCCAAGGAGAACAAGGTGAAAATGCAAGTTGATGTGTCTTGCTTTTCTCATCTACATTCAAATAATTCAAACAGTACAAGCATTCCAACAGGTGAGCATCAAGGCTGCCAAGGGTGCCTTCGCCAAGCGATGGCCACGGGCGGCTTCAAAGGTGACCACCTACAGAGAGATGGAGGAACCATGTTTGTTTCTTGTGCGGCCCCCTTTGACCATGGACTTTGTTTTGTTTGACCACCCTGGAGGCATTGGATCTTCTCACTGCCTCTGGTCATGAGACGGACTTTGTTGCGAACACCTCCCAGAACCTGACGCACATGCCAATCAAGAATGACAAAGAGCCCATGATGTGCCTTACGTATCGGGCCCATGAAAACTATAATGAGGTTCAAGAAAGTTAAAGCATGTTAAAAACAAACATTGCCTTAAGAACAAAAAAACATTCACCTCTGAGGCCAAATGGGAGCTTTCTATCTACTCGAGCTGGCCGCTACTTGGTCGGAAAGGAGGTGCTTCTCTTGATGGGAATGCCAATTCATCGCTATGACACCACGATGCTGACCAATCGAGAAGCTTTCCAAAAATAGTTTTCTTCATATACCCGCCGTGCAACCAAATTGAGTTTGATTGCTTGCTATTAAGGAGCAGCATGGAATTGGTGGAAATGCAATGGCTCTGCGGGCGATTACGCCCGCACTGTGCGCTGCTTTGTCAGCCACTTCTCCACAGAAGATTATGTGGATGCTCAGTGGAAGACACAATTAGAGTTAGAGATTGGATAGCTGGGATTCCAGAGATGAAAATAACAGTCTTTGTTGTTTCGGAATGCTTCAGCATTTGCACTGATGGCCTGTTGTGTCCATGACAAACGCATGATGGACTTTACAGTGAGTGCAATATTAGTGCTGCTTGTTCAAGCCGATGCCAGTGTTGCAGCGGTGGGAAGACACTGATTCGGATTCATCTCATGGGAGCGCAGTGCCTTTGAAAACGGCTTTAAATCGCTATGATGACTCCAGCTCAAGCTCAGGGTTTCTTGTCCGACATTTGTCAACGCATCATTTGTGCACAAGGCTTGCGTTTGTGTGGACGGGTTTGCTCAGGTCAGGGGACACAAGCGCCGACTCTTCGCTGGATGATAGTGATGATGAAGAAGCTAGCGGTGCTCAGGATGAGTCAAGTGATGAAGTGCCCAAAGGATTGGGAATAATTTCTTTGACGTCCACTCACCTTGAGTCCCTCCACGCTATCTCCTCGCTGGAAGATGCACATATCTCAGCTTATGCACAAGAGGGCCTTTCATTGAACAGAATGAAGCTGGCCCTCAAAAATGGAGTTTGTGAGTGTGGCTGCCGCCTCCCACTTCGTGACTTGGCCCAAGTGTGCAAAGTCTTTTGGAAGCTGCCCAAATCTTCTCAAGATACTGTTTTGTGGGGGCTACAATCTTGCGCTGCTGGAAGAAAGAACAATTGGGAGATTGAAGGAGAGGTTTTTGATGGTTTTTGAATGCAACATTGGCCGAACTGCTCAATGCCCCAAGTCCAAGTGAACCCTGTAACTTGTGCCAGGACACAGGCTTTGCCGCGAGGCCTTTCTGAGATATATTGGGATTGGAAAAGGACGGCTCCTGAGATGCAAGCGGAACCACCACGGTCTCGACAAAAGAACCCTTGGTGGTGCTGGTGGATGCTCGTCTAAATCCTTGATTGTTTCCAGAGTAGGCCCACTCACTGCAAGAGGAGCAAACCCTTTGTGAGGACCTGCCACGAAGCCGGCGCTTAAGACAGCCAGCGTTAAAGCCTTCTTCATAAACCTGTACTGGTCGTCAGGGGAGTCTGTGGCAACAATGTACTTTGGCTGAAGCGTTTTTGTTCACCCAACTTGGCAAAAAGCATGTTTGCATGTTTGCATGAATCTTTCAAGGTTGTGCCAACAGATACCTGAGGGGCTCTGCAAAATCAATGCTGGAGCAGGATGATGGCAAGCTTCAGGAGGAGCTTCTCCAGAAGCTTGTGGACCACAAGCTGACAGGAGCAACCTTACAGCTTTCCTTCTACTGCAATCCAACGCAGCTTCCACCAAAGTTTCTTCCCCATGGAAACTTGAGCTGTTTGTTTGCTTTGTACTGCGCGTACAGCAATGCTGTAGAGGGGCAGGAGCCGGCAGGACGGAGCATCTTCTACACAGTTGCTCAGAAGTGGAAAGCTTGCCTTCGTTTCCACAAGCAGTCGAACCACTCTGCTTGCACAACCTGCCTGTCCTTGAAGTCACGACTGGCAGAGGCCAAAGAGACTTAGCATTGTTCCATCTATGCACTATGCACTTGTTGATGTTTAGAAGAAGGTTGACAGGGTTCATTTGTTGATCAAAGAGATCAGGACTTCATCGAGCGTGCAAAACTATCTTCACAGCTCCTCTCCCACTACATGGCGCAGTGGAGGGACAGAGCTGTTTACTGGATGGCTAGATCCAGAAGCCGCATTGAGCGTGACATTTTGTGCTGCATAATTGACAGCTACGGCAAGGCAAAATGCACTTTGCCCAGATGGGTCAACAAGCGCAGCCCGAAGTCATCACTGTACGATT